GTTAAAAACATGATATGGTGTCAGTTCCGCATTAAGACAGTTGCCACAGCTTTGATATTTTCTAGTCCCATCTGTAGAAATTTTCATGTTTTTAATTTATAATGTAATAATGTCATGTTTTTAATGTAATAATTTAGGTTCATAATGACATTAGAAATTTTACAATTGCTAATAGATATTTAAATTTACGATGATATAATTTATAGATATTTAAATTTAAGTGAATATAATTTTTAAAAAAAAAAAACAAATATTTAGAATAACTACATTATAAAAATATGTTATGAAATTAGGAGAATTTCAACTATATACTATATATTTTATTTATACTTTTTATTTACATTTTAATTTTCTTTGACTTTATCCTTTTTTTTAAATTTTTTTCACCTGCCTTTCTCTTTGAAGTAACGGGGCGGCTTCTATTCAGATAATGAATTTTTATTAAAGTTCTTAACGATAGAATAAACGTATTGCTGTTTTATATTAACTGTGTCATTTCGAAATCCATTCTTTTCATAGTTGTTCATTTACATTAGGGAACACGCGGAAAATTATATTTTTTCCTTTTGTTTTTCAATCAGAATTTTTGCTAGTTGCAATCGCGCAAACTGGCATTTCGATAATAGTTTTAAATTTTTGTAAATTCACTGCAACAACTGAGGAAAGTCATTATAGAAAATAACAAATGTCTTAGAATATATCACAAAAAGAAATGCTCCAATATTAGTCAGAGCTAGTAAGGCCGAACGGTCTGCTCTTGAAGTAAAAGTGCGAACTTTGCACCAAAGTGACGTCACTGGAGAAAATCGGAGGATTGGCGCGGCGAGAGTTTCTTCAAAGGAGTGAACCAGCCCTTCTATTCTCTTTAGCCCTGATTAAGGGGTCGATGAAAAAATCAGATATTTGCTTAATATTGATACTTTAAATTAAGATTCATTCATAAAAATATTTCCAATCTTTTATTCAACAGTAAAATCCTTTAATGAATATATATAAAAATTTAAAGTACAAGGTAACAATTGCATTCAGATAAACTACTGTAGTTTATAACCAAGGCAGTCATTAACTTATACAATTTCTAAACATCTATAAAGTCATAAAAGTTGAAAAAAATAAATTGATATACTTTGTAAACTATGACACAATTTTATTATATGGAAAATTTGGTAGGAATCTTTATTTCTTATAACCTGCAAAAAAAAATTTTTTTTTTTAATGTTGATAAAAAAAATTTATTTTAACAAAATATTAATTATTTTGCTTTTCGAAAAATTAATAAAGGTAATTTGTTTTATCTCACTGCTGCAACACTTATAGAACAACGGAAGATAAAAATATGGAGGAAAACATTTGCAAAATTTTGTGGTGCTTTACTTAATTTTTATTAATGAAAAGCGTATAAAAACAAATCAAGCCAAATAGCAAGCATTGAAAATCCTTTTTAATTTTTTTTCTTTTAATGTAACTTTAAATGAACAGAAGTTAAAGCAGAAAGAGAACTTCTTTAGAAAAACGAACAGGTAAAACAGGCCACAAATGAGGTTGATGTAAATCACAAAGTCTGCTGAAATCAAAGCTCACAGCAGTCTCCAAGCCAGCTATTGTATAAGCTTACTCACCCTTATAATATCCCCTGATTTTTTCTTCAAACTTCATATCTTCCTCAAGTGCGGAGGGGGATTTCCTACCTTTTCGGTTCTCTGACACTAGAAAAAAGAAAATTCAACATTACTAAGAAAAATAACAATAAAATAGAAAAGAAAAATATATATTGTAAGCTAATACAAATGTAAACTGCTGTTTGTAGAAAATGC